TAAATAAATAAATAAATGTAATACATTTTAAAACTCTTAGAAAACCAAGGTAATATTTTAAAGTATATACATAATAAATTTCTTTCCTTTTAAAACTACACTCTTGGTAATTTCCATTTCAAGAGTGACAAAGTTTGGCTAGCGATTAGGTCAGTGGTAGACTGTGCCTACGTCAGTCCCTAGGTTCCATCCCTAACACTGAAAATTCAAAATAAAGAATTGCACAGCAGTGACTGACACATGATGAAAGCTACTTCTAATAACATCTGACATTTGCATGAGCCTTCTTTGTTTCAAAATACTTTCACGTGTGCACCATTTGACCTTTGCAACAGCCAGTGGGAGAGGTAGGGCAAATACTGTTTTTCTTTTAGTACTTTTTTAAGGAGAAGTTCAGAGCTGAGGCCACTTGCCCCAGGACCTCCTGCTGGTAAAGAGGAATTCCAACCTAGTGTCTTCCTGACAAACCACTTTCTTCTTAAAGCTGTATCTGTATCTGGGAAACCATAGCAGTTCTCTACAGATTATTTAAGACCTGACAGCAATCAGAAGTGTGGGAAACAGGAGAGACTTGAATTCAGTTCAAAATTGGTTACCTCAGCTGGGAGATGGCACAGGGGACAAAGTGCTTGTGAAGCAAGCATGAGGACCAGAGTTCTTATCTCCAGAACCCACGTAAATGCTGGGTGTTGTGTGGCAGCCTGCCTTACTTCCAGTGGTGGGAGGGCAGACCAGCCTGTATCTGGGATTCTGGGTCCATCTGAGAGGTCCTGCCTGAATAAATAAGTTGGAGAGCAATCAAGGAAAACACCTGACATCAATTTCTGGCCTCCATATGCATACGTGTACACCCATACACAAGTTCACCCACACACATGTGAACAGGCACACACACATGCACATCACACATAAAATACAAAAGAAAATTGCTCACCTCACCCTCCTAGTCTATATATTCCTGAAAAGCCATTAGTTTGGTCCTTAGAATCCAAGTTATATACAAATTCATTTGACTGCTGTTCGTTGCTGGCTCACTGACCCATAGAAGCATCACTGATAGTCATTTTTGGTTTTGGTATTTGTAAGGTTTGCATTCTGTTTATAAACAGTGTTTAAAAGCCATAGGTGGACTGGAGAGACGGCTCAATGGTTAAGAGCACTCTTGTTGCTCTTGCAGAGGACCTGGGTTTGGTTCCCAACAACCCATTTGGCAGCTCAAAATTTTAACTGCAGTCCCAGCAGATCCAATGGCTTCTTCTGAACTCTGTGGGCACTGCATGTACATGATACACATACAGATAAGTAGACACACATATATACATATAAAGTAAATAAACCTTAAAACAAAAAAAGTTGTATGAGGCTGGAGAGATGACTCAGTGGTTAAGAGCACTGGTTGCTCTTGCAGAAGACCCAGGTTCAAATCCCAGCACCCACATGGAGGTTAACACCCATCCATAACTCCAGTTCCAGGGAATCAGACACCCTCTTCTGACCCCCATGGGCATTGATGACATGGGTGCATTTACATAATACAGGCAAAACACTCATACACATAAAATAAAAATAAATCAAAAAACTTTTTTAAAGCTTTGGCGTGGTGGTACATACCTATAATCCCAGCACTCACAAGGCTGAAGTAGGAAGAACTCAAATTTGAGGCCAGCCTGGGCTAGACAGCAATACCCTAACTCAAAACAACAGGTAAAAGCTCCAATTTTTTTTTTTTTTTTTTTTTTTTTTTTTTTTTTTTTTTTTTTTGTCTTTTTGAGACAGGTTCTCCCTGTAGCCCCCAGCTGGCCTGGAACTTGCTATGTAGACCAGGCTGGCTTCAATTTTACAGAGATCCACCTGCCTCTGCCTTCCGAGTTCTAGGATTAACCACACCCGGCTTCATAGGCTCAATTTTTAATGCTTTTCACAAGGAATAAATTTTGTAGTAAGTTAACAGTTGGTATTAGAAAATCTCTTTAAACTTAGCATTTATAAAGTACTTGCTTTCTTTCAGAGTTTAAAAAACAGGTAGAAAGATGGCTCTGTGGGTAAAGCATTTGTTTCACAAGCATAAAAACATGTTTGCATCCCCATCACTCATGTAAATGCCAGGCAAACATGGCAGCCTACTTATAATCCCAGTGCTCAGGAAGCAGACACGGGACCCCCAGAGCAAGCTGGCTAGCTAGACTGTCTGACCTGGCAAGCTTTGGGTTCAAGCAAGAGTGCCTGCTTTAACGTTTAAGATGGAGTTCAATCAAGGGAGACACTTGACATCAACTTCTGCACTACCAGTGTGAAAGGCTTTTAAGATTTCTTTTCTTTTTTTGAGAGAGTCTCACTACTAGGATTTATTTTCTACTTGGAACTCACTGGCATCATTAGGTGACACTCTCCCAACTCACAGAATTTCTAATGGTTATTTGTCCCAGTTCTCCGAGGACACTCATTTGTCAGAAGTCTTCAGTAAATCTAAGACTCTCCAAGGAGTTCTCTTACACTCTAAATACGTGGCACTCTCACCAAGACCCACAAAGCTTCCCCAATTTCTAATTTCTGAAAATTAGATCCTTACATAAATAGCTAAGCTTTTAAAATTCAGACTCCTCTTGAGGTTTTGAAATATAAATACCTCAGTGGAAAGTTGTATTACAACAATCTGCCCCGTGAGAGTTCTGTTGATTACTTGGCAGGAGAAAAATCCCTTATGGGTCTATCCACTATTCATGGTTATGTATGTCAGCTTTGTCACTGTGACAAAACACCTGAGAAAGAATTTATGAGGAACAGCTTGTTTTGGCTCATGGTTTCAGAGGTTTCAATGAATGGTAAGCAGCCTCCACTGTTTTCAGGCCTTTGGCAAAGGCAGAACATCACAATGACAGAAGGCAAGGTGGGGCAAAGCTGCTCATCTGGATGGCCAGGAAGCAGAGCTTGCTTCTACAGCAAACCTAGTTCCCAGTGTCCATTAACCTACAGATCCATCTATTCATGAGATCAGAGTCCAATCATTCGAGGTCCAATCACTTGCCCAAGCCCTACCTCAGAGCACTGGGGACAAAGTCTTCAACCATGAGCTTTTGGAGACTTGAGAGCCAAACTATAACAATATTTTATTACTATTCCTAATAACTAAAAACTAGGCAATCACCTTATTTGTTTTGCATAGCCATCCCCAGTCTCTATCTCTGCACAGCACTACCCGCACAGACAACTACTTCACTTCCATAAATGAACATGCTTCCACTGTTTGCTGTACTTGCTTGCTGATTCTTGACCTGTTACACTGAACAGCTGCTCTGGTATCATTAATTCAATAGCCCACTGTGAGAACAGAAATCTGAGGGGCTCCTAGGTCTCAACTGTCCTTTAAATATAAGGATTCATGATGTTATTAGGCTAAATATACATTAGGTGCCAATTATTCTAAAGCTTTGGATTATGCCTGGTAAAAGAGGCATGCTACTTCACCAGATACACAACTGAATTGACACCTCCTGGCTCAGTTGTGTGTCACACAGATGCGTCCTTTAAATAAGCATTGGGGCAGGAGAGATGGCTTAGCAATTAAGAGCACTGACTATTCTTGCACAAGACCTAGGTTCAATTCCCAACACCCCCACTGTGCTAATTCCAGTTCCAGGGGATTCAGTGCCTTCTTCTGGCCTCCTTGGGCACTGCATGGCAGAGGTGCACTTACATACATGCAGGCATAACACTCATACACATAAAATATAAATTTTTAAAAAGAATTGATAAGACAGGCGTGGCGGCACACGCCTTTAGTCCCAGCATTCACGAGGCAGAGGCAGGTGATCTCTGTGAGTTTAAGGCCAGCCTGGTCTACATAGTGAGTTCCAGGCCAGCTGGGGCTACAGGGAGACTCTGTCTCAAAAAGACCAAAGGAAAAAAAAAGGCTTCAGGGGCAGAAGATATGTAAATTCCTACACTGTATGAAAGTATTACACATAGCACATGATCCCAATAAACATATGACAATAGCTTCAGTGGCTGATCTAATAAACTTTGGTTTGGGCACCACCTAATGGTAGGAAATGTATTTTAAAATACCACTTTACTAAATCTTTGTATAGCTTATACTAATTAGGAAAACATTTTTTATTTTTCACGTTTGGCTCACTGAAAAAGATTAAGTCCATTCCGTTCTATTTGGAATAAACTATTATTTCCATTAGGAAAATGTGCTACTGAAATAACACTCTAAAAAATTCTAGTGTAGGGCTGGGGAGATGGCACTGTAGGTAAAAGTTCCTGCCATGCAAGCTTGAAGACCCAAGTTCAGATCCCAACACCCATGTAAATTCAGGCAAGGGGGCTGGGGAGATAGTTCAATGGATAAAGTGCCTGCCATGCAGTCATGATTGCAGTTCAGGTACCTACAACCTACAACAGAGCCAGGTGAGCATAGCCTGTAATCCCAGCATTCAACACAGGGGATCTTCCAGGCAAACTGGCTAGCTAGACTTTGCTGAATCTGGTTCAACAAGAGAGCCTGCCTCAAGAAAATAAAGTGGAGGGCCATCAAGGAAAATGTCCAATGTCAACCTCTGGCCTCCACACCCACACCCAGAGAGAAAAGAGAGAGGGAGAGTGAGGAGGGAGGGAGGGAATAAAATAAGAGGCCAAAGGCCAAGCAAGGCAAGGCCATATGTGCCTAGAACCCCAGCGCTGGGCAGCACTCAGGCAGATCCACACCAGTAAGATCCAGGTTCAGTGAAAATCTGTCTCAATAGGTAAGATAGAGAGCAAGCCAGCAAGGCACCGGATGTCCACTGGCTTCCGCAGGCACACATGCTGGTATAAACGCGCACACGCAATTAAAAAAAAAAAATTCTATCAGGACTTAAATATTTAAGTTTATTCTTAAACATTTAAGAAACATTTTAATGAACTGTCTTAAGAGTTCTCATCTAGCTACCAAAGTCAATTCTGAATATATAGTGATCTACACACAACACCATCTGTATTTTTTGTTTGTTTGTTTGTTTAGAGATTGCAGCTACAGTGGGCTTCCAATTCTGAACCTTCCTGCTTCTGCCTCCTGAATGGACCACCTGTGTGTGCCACCAAGCCAGGCTCACATTAAATCTTCTAATGAGTCCTTGCTTGGTTTGATGAAGTATTTGTGGCACTACAGAACCAATAACCCATGTATTAAGAAAAGATATTTATTATTTACACCACTGAAATAGTTCCGTAAGAACAATATACACCATGTTCATTTAAAAGGAACAAGTCCTTTCAAATACAAGAACTGTATAAAGCAATACTGTCAACACAAAACAGTGGTCACATTACATATCTGCAGGCTTATGCATTGAAATTATAGGCATTTTTTAATCTTATGGCTACATATTTTCACTGAAAGTGTTAGCACTTAGAGATAAGATACAGCTAGAATAGAACAAAAAATTTTGTTCATGCTTCTTAGGTTGAATCGGTGACATGAGCCTTTTTACTATTGCTTTGAGCTGCGTTTATGACTATGATGTTAGACAGAAGTGCTTCTACTCAGCCACCGAAAAGAGACACTCCTGTCCTTTAGTTTGATGCTTCAGTCCGTTTGTCTCTGTCTCATCCTACAGCACAGCTGTGTCACACAGATGTTCTCCATCCTTAGAGAACCCTGACACAAGACAGGACTCGGAGTTTAGAGACACACCTAGCAGAGTACAGGAGAAAGGCTATGCTAAAGAATAAAAACTTTTGGTGGCTTTAACCATAACAAACTAGTTATTTGTTCAAAAGCTGGTTTTGGTTTTTCTGTTTTGTTTTGGTTTTAAGGGGAAAAGCACTAGCTTTAAGATAGGTTTGGTTTTAGACTTGGGCAGCTGATACGTAACATGAGACAAACAGAACACAGACTTGTTTCCAGAGTAACAAGATGGCACTGCTGGGTGCCTTTTTCTCCACCTTTCATTTTCATTTTTTCCATTTTTTCAGAGGGGTTGGAAAACACCTCAATAAGCAACGGGTTTTTTTCAAGAGTAAGTCTATTAACATAGAACAATTTTTTAAACGTATCGTCGTGATCTTCAAAAACTACAGAATTAAATTGACGAAGCACTGGAAGACCAAGGATAAGCACTCTGGCGTCCGCTTTAGTGTCCAGCACTATCATGGTGATGTCTAGCAAAAAAAGCAGAAGTCCATGGATCTCAAGTCTCTTCAGAAACTGCACTTGTCACTACTGCCCTTGCTTCTTTGACAGATACCTGAAAGAAATTGGATGATCACATCACAGCTATATTATGCTGAATTTAGGAAGTAATCCAACTCTCCTACCAAAGGAGTTTATTTCAATGGTTAACCTTTTAAGAGAAACACTGTTAATTACTAAAACCTGGTGACTGTTTATGTACCAAGCACTGTTGTAAGAACATGAGTTGTTTTTAACCCTCACAACAATGCCAGAACAAATTTCTACTAGAACTTACTGAAATGGCAAAACTAACTTCATTTTGCTCTAGGTGATTGCTGCTTTACCCTGTGTTTTTGCCCAGCCATTCCCACTACAGTCAGCCAGGCAGAACGTGTCATGCAGGAGGTTTCAGGGAGTACATTGTCTCTACAATGCTGGGAAACTCACACGTAGCCAGGCAGCAGGTCAGGATAGCACGTCCTCCCTCCCAGCTATGCCTGCATCTCCATGAAGCCCATTGTTTCTGCATTCTGAGAAACTTGCTTTTTCCTTACTGAAGCTTTCTGTTAACTGAAAACCTGTCCCTGGTCTGGTATAACTACGGTGATCTGATCTAACTATGGTTATTGGCTTTGCCCTTGGCATAATGTAATTGTGGTTTTAGGCTTTATCAACCCTGCCCTGCTTCTCCTCGCAGTTCTCTGGAGCATTATCCCCCTCACTGACCACTGGCTATAAATAAAGGACTCCTAATTCGACCATCACCATGTAGTGTTCATCTGTGCATCTTGCTCAGTATCACACTCCTGGTTCTCGGGCACATGAAGGTTAATCAACCTGCCATGGCAGAGGTCAGATTCACAATGATGCTCCAGAGGCTGCCCGCATCATTATAGCACTTACTGCCTACTTTCCTATTTAAGTAGTATGCTACCTTCTTATGAAATTTTATTTAAAGATCTTTTTTTCCTGCATTAAAACAGTGGGATAAACAGGTGCTGGGGGGCAGGGGGATGGCTGGCAAGATGGTTCAGTGAGTAAAAGGGCTTGCCATCAAGCCTGACAACTGGATTCAATCTGTAGGGCCCACATTGTAGAAGGAGAGAACCAACTCCTTCCTGCAAGTTGCCTCTGACCTACACATGTGCACCATGGCATAGGAGCAAACACACAGCAAAAAAAATTAGTAAATAAAATTCTTTTTTAAAAGAAATACTAAAAACTAATCAACAGGACAAAGAGAGGGCTGAGTTCGTAGTCAGAGGTTCAGTGCCTGCCTGGCATGCATGAGGTCCTAGACTCAATCCCCAGCACTGCCAAAAGAAAAAAGAAATGTAAAGGATGCAAAGGTGCTTCGTTACCAAGTGGGCAACTCTGTCTCCATGATTTGGTAGAAATCTATAGCTCAATATCCATTTTGACCTCGTTCTCACATGTACGAGCTACCCTTCTAGCAGTGTGGGGATGGACTGAGGTCACAGATGGGTCTGATGACATAAAGTGGGCAGGTGCTGAGTAGCCACTAACCCACATGACTTAGTCACATCCCTGCAACTGAAGACCGGAACAAAATAAAATGCTTGCTCCATCTCCCTATAGGACCATGAGGCTCTAACAAGAAGCTGTGTTAAAGTGATATAAAAAGCCAAAAATGGAATTTGAAAAAGCAAAGAATTTTTATGGATAGCTTCTTTTTATTAGTTGTTATATTATTGGAACCAGATCTTCAAAGATTTAATGTTTTTTTGTTTTGTTTCATCTTTTTTGAGACAGGGTCTCCCTGTACCTCCAGCTGTCCTGGAACTCACTTATGTAGACCAGGCTGGCCTAGAACTCATAGAGGTCTGCCTGCCTCTGCCTCCCAAGTGCTAGGATTAAAGGTATGCATCACCTTAATTTTTAGAAAGTATTACTTATAGTATGTAGCTCCATTTCTCCAGAGAATTTTCTTATAATCTTGATGTTTATTATAATTTATATTGCATTTTTGCATGTCTGTGCTTTAAAAAACAAACCAGAAAACTGTATATACCATGGTATATATGGCAATATTTACAAAGAAAAGCATGAGTAACTACAGGGGTTCTTGGTTTTTTATGTGTATGAGTGTTTTGCCTGCCTATACCTAAGTGCACCATGTGCATGCAATGCCTAAGGAGGCCAAAAGAGGGCATCAGATCCCCGGAAGCTGGAGTTAAGGATGGTTGTTAGGCACCATGTGGGTACTGGGAACTGAACCTGGGTCCTCTGCAGGAGCAGTCAATGCTCTTAACTGCTGAGTCATCTCTCCAGCCCCAAGCTTCTGTTTTTTTAAAGTGGATTGGTTTTCTAACTCTGCTCTAGAAACAGAAATTCCTTGTAATTTTGAACAAATTTTACCCTGACATTTTATAGTAAGGGAATAATAATTACATCCTGCATGAGCCTAGCATGGTAGGACATGTTTGCAATCCAGCAGTTAAGAGGCTGGAGGAATAAGAGTTTGGGTTAACCTAGGCTAGATACAAAGACCTTGCTTCAAAGGACCATGGCAGGGAGAGGTGGAGAATTCAGAGAGGCCTCCTTTATGTCACAAAATAATTTAGCAGCTCCTCATGTCCTGTCTACTAGAAGCACTAAAGTGCTTATGAGATGTAGGTTTATGAAAAAGTTAGACGTTAAAAGAAAAAAAGGAAAATACTTTTGAGGCTATGACACTAGATTAGAAAATACTCTTGTAGAATTTGCCCATTTTAAATAAAAATTTCAGAGTACAATTTGCACCACCAATATTTTTTCACTCATTGATGTCAAGAGAAAAATGAATAAACACTTACCTTTCCCAATATTTGTGATTTAGCTCCAAAAAGTCATCTAATTTTGCAATTTCCTTGAGGTACTGAGTTAATTTTAAAAGTTCTTTGTCTTTCTCTCGATTTAGATGTGCTTTCATAAATGGCCTTATCTAAAGAAAAGCAAGGAAGATTTCACATTTGGTAAGGAAAACTAACAAAACCTTGCAGTATTCTATCATTTAAATCAGAGTTACTGGACAAGGACCAGTTACTTTTATCCTGCCTAAGTTTTAAAGCAAGAAGTCATCTGCACTATTTACAGAACAAATTCAAAGCTCTTCCTTCCACTGCTGTTACCCTGCATCCCTCCAGTCTAACCCTGACAGCAGCAGCTTCCTCCCACACTTGAACCCTACATGGCTACTCCATTTTGCAAATGAACTTTTCCTGTCATGAGCTGCCTCTAATTAATTTCATTTACATTACCTAATTTATAAAAAGTCAACCCAAATATAAGCTTGATCTAACCAGTGTCTGCATGTCTGTACGTGCACCTTTTGCATGCAGAGCCCATGGAAACCACCCTGTGCTGGGTGCCCTGGGTGGAGTCAAGACAGTTGTAAGCCACCACGTGGGTGCTGGGAACTGAAACTGCCAGGGCAAGAAACGCTCCTAACTGCTGAGCCCTCTCTCCAGCTGCAGAAGTAGAGCTAGAACTTTTTTGAAACAGGGTCTCACTACGCAGCCTTGGCTAGCTCAGAACTCTCCACACAGACCAGGATGGCCTCAAACTCACAGAGGTCCATCTGTCTCTGCCTCCTGAGTGCTGGGATTAAAGAGTTGTACCACCACACCTGGCAGGGCTAAATAAATTTTAGCAATAATTTAAAAAAAATATGTATAATTTTTTATTTTATGTGTATAAATGTTTTGCCTCCATGTATGTAAGTACACCACGTGCATGCAATGCCCACAGAGGCCAGAAGGTGTCGGATCCCCTGGAACTGGAGTTATGAACGGTTGTTAGCCAACATATAGGTGTTGGGAATCAAACCCAGGTCCTCTGGAAGAACAGCAAGTCTTCTTAAGCACTGAGTCATCTCTCTAGCCCCAGCAGTAACTATCTTTATTCCAGTATTTTTCTCTGAACATTTTATATAGCTCAATCACACATTTATACCATTTTTCTTTATCATTAAATTTTCTATAAAAATCACTTAAAAAAATTTTTTTTTTCTTTTTTGTGTATGAGTGCATTGCCTGCATGTATGTAAGTGCGACCATGTTGTGCAATGCCCGTGGAGGTAAGAAGGGGGCATTGCATTCCTCTGGAACTGAAATTACAGATGCTAGCCACCATGTGGATACTAGGAATCGAACCCGAGTCCTCTACAAGAGCAGCTAATACTCTTAACCACTGAGCCATCTCTCCAGCCCTAAAAATCACTTCTAATAATACAAGTTTCTATAAAAAAGACAGTCATGTTTTCCAAATTTTTAAGGTTGATGTGTTTAAGTCATTCATTTAAAAAGCATTACTTCAAGTTACGTCAGGAAGAGTGCGGTAATCACAAGTTAGGAACGGTATATATCTTGACTTAAGCAGTAATTATATGAGTTATTTTTATAACAATTTGTTCAGCTATTAATTTTATACACGTTTGTATTACTGCCCTGATAGCTTTGTCTTTTCTTAAAGATATCAATTCAAATACCTTTAGACAACTCAAGACAGACTTTCAAAATATTTAAGTTTAAATAAAATATAAATTTGGGATTTGCTTGAAAAAATTCAAAGGCAGAGACTACAGAGATGGCTCAGTGGTGAAGAGCACCACCTGCTTTTTCAGAGGGTCTGTGTTCGATTCCCAGCACCCACATGGTGGCTACAAACTGTCCTTAACTCCAGTTCCAGGGGACTCCAAAGCCCTCTCTGACCTCCATAACACTGCACGACACAGGTGCACTTATAGGCAATACACTCATACACATAAAGTAAAAATAATAAACTAAAAATTTTAAAAAAAAACCTGAAGTTCTCCTCAAAAAACATTTCTTAATCATGGTGACCTCGACGTTTGCAAGAACACCAATAGCCAGTAGGGTCTTCAGTCAAATCTCTAGTCAAGACTTAAGCATACATTTTGTACCCTATATCTGGTGGACTATTACATGTTTAGGAAGAACACTTCATCCAAAGTCTCAAACAAAAATCTTTTCTAAGGAAAATATAACCACTTTTCTTCCAAATCAACAGTTTACATTTATGGCAAATTCGAGATTTAAACCAGCATTCTGACACTTAAATTATAGTCATTACACACTAAAACCAAATCAATGGTCTATAGGTTTCAAAACTCAACTTTCTACACGTTTTTGTCTCCTGTTCTGTAAGACTACCAAGAACCCAGCTGGGTGTCAAATTCAGGATTGAGAATGAAGAATCCCTCAATAAGAGGATCTCCACTTTAAATGGAGACCCACTGCACTCCTAGAGTAACAGAGACCTCTTCTATTTTCATACTGCACAAACACATAAGCAACTATGTGCACCAGAAGTGTGGAAGGTTCAAATCTCTCTATTCCAGTTCTAAGCCACAATCAGGATTAAATGTCCTCAACAGCGTGTATACAGGATTTCATGTGACTCATGCTAAGGTTACCGCTGATCCTGAAGCCAAGCTCAGAGTCTGTCCAAATTCTGTCAAAAACCAGGTATATATACGATTTGAGGCAAGTTATGACTTTTCATCCTAGGACTCTTTCTAAGAAGTTGGGAAAGTGGGCAAGGTGAGTGTGACTATAGCTAGACGTCTAGCTCTGATGCTTGATAATTCTAAGATCTAAACTTGACCTATATGAATTTCAAAAATCTTTAGCTTCATTTTTTTTAAATGTGCCACTAGTAGTGCCAGCTACTGAGCTACCTACCAGAGCATCCGAAATTCTAAGATGCGTCACCCGAGTTCACTCTGGATGCTACAAGTTAACATCAGAAAGCCCAGGTTGCTCCCACAGCACTAGCTGAAGCTGACCATTTAGATGGACTGGTTAACTGAGGGGATCACAATGCAAAAGACAGCACTCATTTTCATACGAACCTCCCTGAATAGCTCCACTTTTCTTAGATCATAAAGATATGTAAGTACAGTCACGCACCACTGAACACGTCCCTTCCTGAGAAATGTACACATAGGTGATTTCACATTGCTTGAACATCATAGTATACTTACAAACCCAGACAATATCCCTTTACTGTAGGCCTAAGTTCTACGGTACCACTCCCAGGCCACAAACCTGTACAGCACATTACTGAAGACTATGGCGACTGCGACACAACGGTTAAGTCTCTACATGAAGATCTGATACAGTAAAAAATATTAGGCAGCAGGAATTTTCAGCTTTGTTATCTTTTTTTAAATATACGTGAGACCAAGCATCCCTGGCCGCTACAGGTATCCAGGCATAGTTAAGAAACAACACTGTTTTTAGCAGGGGGAACAACAACATAGCACTTAACAGCTATACTGTACTTAAATCCTGCTTTTCAGCTCTGTTACCTTACAGGACCCACCATTATACATGTTGGTCACCACTAACTAAAACAGCATCACATAGCACTTAACAGCACTTCCAAAAATTTACGCAGCTCAGGTTACGTGAGCATAAAGCACGTAAAACCATGTCTTACCTTCAGCCCGTTTTGTGGGTTCATGAGGAAATTTCTTCCTATGTCATCAAACATAATGGTGTTTTTTTTGCTGTAAAACTCGGAAAACTTTCCCCATATAACACCAAGAGGCTTTACCTTAAAATGAAAGTTTATATTTAACTCAGCACTTATCAACAGCGCATCCTTTCTTAAAAGCAGAGCTACTCCAAACTACTTCCATCTGTAGGACTGCACTGCCTGACCACCAGAGGACCAGGCTACCCTGCAATGTTCAAACGTTGGAAATGTCTGTTCATGCCTAACTCAAATAAACCTATTCCAACACTTTACATGATTGTTTGTGGTCGGTTTTTGTTTTTGTTTGGGGGGGGTGTTTTGTTTTGTTGAGACAGCCTCACTACATAGCCCAGGTTAGCTTCGAACTCATACACCTCCAGCCTTGGCCTCCCCCTTGTATTGGGACTACAGATGTACCACTGAGCCCAGCTGACTCAGTCTTTAATTCAGTGGCACAGGTACCTAATTTTTAGGGATTTGATTGCTAAACTTCAAAACATCACAATTTGTAAATTCCTGGTTTTGTTTCGGAAATCCTAAGCCAGGACTACAAAACGATAAAACTCTATATAAGACATAAGTGTTGACACTCACAGTTTCTAGAAGGATCACACAACAAATATGAAAGACAATACCTCTCTACAGGAGGAATAAGTGGTGTGGAGCAGTGTCTAGTTAGGGGGACGATTTCATGAATTACGAACCTTTCAGTTCTGAGAAAAAACATAAATGTATGACACATTCAGAAACGTTTTTAAATTTTTGATTTACTTTTATGTATATGAGTGTTTTGCAGGCATGTATTTAAGTGCACCATGTGCACACAAGGCCTGTAAAGGTTAGAAGAAGGTGTTGGATCTCCTGGGACTGGAGTTATGGATGGCTATCAGTCACCATTTGGTGCTGGGAATCAAACCAGGGTCTTCTGGAAGGGCAGCCAGCAGTCTTTAACTACCAAGCCAGCTCTCCTCTCCAGTCCTCTCAGAAAATTTCTTAAAGACATTTTCTTTTCTTTTTTTTTTTTTTCGGTCTTTTTGAAACAGGGTCTGTCTGTAGCCCCAGCTGGCCTGGAACTTACTATGTAGACCAGGCTGGCCTTGAACTCACAGAGATCCACCTTCCTCTGTCTCCCAAGTGCTAGGATTATAGGTATGCACCACCACACCTGGCTAAGACATTCATTTTTTAAAGCAAATTCTGTTTGCCTAATGGCAAGAATCTCATTTACAGTGATGTGAAACAACATATTATACTTAATTATCTTCTATACTTAAAGTGGAATGTGCTTTTCATTCCTAGTGTCTAACTACTGCAAAGGAATATCATTTTAATGTAATTTAAAATGTTTTCACCTAAATTATTTTCCACTATTTGTTTACTCCTGAAACAAAACTGCTCCATTCTTGAAGACAAGCACACAGAACTGACCCAGGGAGCCAGATTCGAGGGGTCTTCAGGTCAAAAGTCTCAAGAGGTGTGACAAGATAATCCTGATACCCAGAACTAGAAACCACATATCCTCTTAGAAAATGGTGGCATCTGGTGATAACTCCAGCACACCTTGTTCTAAGCCATGGACTACTTTGCTTTTAGGTACTATATTCTATTGCTGAACACACAATAATCTGAAAACACACAAAAGCACAAATGAAAACTTCAGATCGTGTGTAATTTAGTCAATATCAAAGGCAGCAGCAACTGGAGAGTCTGATGTCCCACTTCCAGGCTTTTGTTTTAATAAGAAACGGCAGCCCCTGAAAATTCCCACTGTTAAATGAGGGGAATCCGAGACTGAAAACATTATAACCACTTCCCAGCAGCTTCAAATGTTAAGAAGACATTTCTTTCATTTTAATGTCATAAAAATATTGAAACCACTAAGCATTCTGCTACATCAAATGACTAACTGCATTGTATTATGTGCACAACAATTTATAATCCTTTATTCCTGGACACTTGAGTTTGTTTTATTGCATGTTCCACTACTATAAATATTGCTATGCTTAACATTTTCTAAGCCTCTCTTTAACATTTACATTGTAGAAAGGTATTCAGCAGGCAGCTTTTTTTCTCCTGGTATGTACAGTATTTCCTTTACTTAAACCACTCTATTTAGGACTTTAATACTGCCTCCTAAGCTTCTCCAGAATCCTAAATTCTCTCCAATTCCTGCTATGTGTCTTAAAAAGGCATGGACTACACTTCCCTTATCTCATTACTAACTGCGCCTGCTGCAAGACTTTGTAGATGTAGTCGCTTGACGAGTAAGCAAATCAAACTCCATCATTTTCTTCAGTCTTCTCTGCTGTCCTGACAGTCTCTAGGGTACATATATAACCCTATACATATCACAATATACCAGTTTCATCTTGCGAAGAGTATATTTTGGTTTGTTTCCAACACCTTTCTTAATGATTTCATTATTTTTATCACCTGCCCTGTCTAGTAAACACCTCACTGCCATCATCACAGAATGGTGACCCTCAACAGCTCTTTGCTTGACAGTCCTCCAGTAGACTTAACTGCAATGTTATAACTCAAATCTGTTCAATACATTTGCTTTGTCAAAAAAAAAAAAAAAAATTAACTGTCACTTTACTCTCCACTTAGATTAATTCTTTCTAGTTTTTCCCTGTCAGTTTAAACACAGAAAGTATACTACAGAATAAACGCATCTTCAAAGGAAGGCAAAGGAGTGCTTACATCTATCAGCCCTCTCCGTGGAGTATGCACTGTGATCATAGCAGCACTGTCCAGCATGAAGGTGATCTTGTAATTTGCATTTGTGCTCACTCCCAGTTCCTGTAGACAAACGTTCATAACATTAAAATAATGTGTAAAATTCCAGGCTTTCTGAATATCCCACTTGCAATTTCTCAAAATGCCAACTTTCTACAGCAATGGCAGCAACATTTTGCTAAACAACTAGAAAGTATATGTTTTGCTTAACTATGTCAGCAGGTAAACTAGAAGCAGATTAATTCCTAAATGACCATATTAGAAAAGGATCACCTCATAGCATTACACCAGAGCAAAGGGAAGGAGAACATTACTGTAGTAAGAGGGAGATTTAAGGCGGGGAGGGGCTTCAGTTTTCCTTGAAAATTCCTTAGGGATTCAGATGCTCCACACTGAACAGACCTTTACCACACTCTACTCCCAATATTACATTATTCAGCTACTAAATGGCATCCAGGACAAATGAAATTGATTTGGTTCCAAAACCTTTAATAAGTGAAATGTGATTTCAAACATTGTTAGTGGCTGGTTTCTAACACTTACTTTCATTTTAGCTTCAATCCACTTCATATTTGTTGCAGCTAAAACATGAGGAATAATACAATACACATGAAAAGTTTGAGTTTCATTAAAAAGATCTTTCTTCTGAATAAATAAGCTTTTAAAGCAAGATTACAAGTTTAAGAACATCACAAATAGCAGTTCCTAATAACTTACTTTAGTGTTCTCTACCTAGAATGAAACTTAAACCACTTTCATCTGTAGGATAGAACCACAATATGCTAACCCTTTAAAATCAATCCTGCCACTATTCTCTGTTCATTCCTAACATAAGTCTAGCATGCTAGATCTCAACCTTCTCCCACAGTCAAGGTTCCAGGCAATATGTAGGCATATATAATGTCATTATAAGCATACTGATGTTTTATGTCAAAAGCTTATGCTGACGACTAAGGCCAATGACTAGCTGCATTTTGTCAGATTTAGCAAACAATGCTCATTGAGTTCAGCAGATTATACTAAAGGACCTGAGACATATTTACAAAATATCCCTAAGTTACATGTCTACTCCCCATTAGACATTAGCTACTGTTGCTATGGTCTCACCACTGTCTCAAATGAAGTAGTAAGAAAAATGTTTAAGAGGAAAAAGCAGTTAACTAAAGTATCAAAAGAGGTAATCTGAGTTCTCAAAATAAAATCTTCATTATACAAACAATCCAGTCACCTTACATGTAGAAGTGGTCAGCTGAACTAAAAGTTCAGAGACTGTCATATTTATAATAAAAATATTCATAAGAATTTTTTTTATAATTTAGTACCTGTTTTATATATCTAATTCCCAGATGAAAAAACAAGGAGACTCACAGAGAGTAAAATAATTGTTCATTATGAAGTAGCCTTTATACATTAGCTTTAGTACTAGTATTACTGTTATTTCTCTTCTTACCATTAACCTAAAATACAGGTCTAGCTATCATTTCTAGGTAAGGAAAGCAGGGTTCACAGACATTCAATGGCCTTCCCAGGTCACACAGTAAAGATAGCCACAATTAAAATCCTAGCGTACTTAGCTCCAAAGTCAAGTACCCATTTCAACCTACTAGCAAATAGCATAATTTACAAAAATAATTCATTTTAGAGCCAGGCATGGTGGAACACACCTTTAATCCCAGCACTTAGGAGGCAGAGGCAGGTGGATCTCTGTGAGTTCTATGTCCGCCTGGTCTACAAAGCCAGTTCCAGGACATATGGGGCTCCAGGGAGACCCTGTCTCAAAAATCTCAACAAAAAAATTATTTTAAATATATGATTGTAAAGGTTCTCTAAATTTCCAGCTTAATGTTTCAGGGATTTTTTTGTCCCCAAAGATGTCAGAGGAGCTAACTTCAGTGAGCTCTCTTTTCCCCACATTATTAAGCCATGAAGTTATCATATTTTAACCATATTTTTAATCTTAATCTTTACAGATGTGAACTCGGCATCACTCAGCAATGGAAATATTCTTAATTTTAAAGAAAAATACAAAGGAAATTTACAGATTGCAACCAACTATATGGCTTCTTATCAAATAATCTATTAAAATTACATGTAATACTTTTATAATTGATGAGATTTATATCATTCACAATAACTCTTTGTCTATAACATTGCCAAGAGGCAACTTAAAATGTCTCCTGGGAAGTAGGACGTTAATCATTGCAATGCTTTACTTTTCCAGAAAGTAAAGTTATGGGAAAATAAACATCACCTGAACTAACTGTGACCCTAGTAATATAGCAAGCCAAGCTCTATTTTGAAACAAACTCACAACCTTGTCACAGACCTGCCTGCTCTTCAATGGTCACCACAGCAATGCCAGCAACACTGCTTCCCCTATAGTCTAAGTCTTCCTTAAGTAATTGGCATCGCTCTTTATTTCTGTATAATTACATCACTGTGACGCGGTCTGTTTTTTATTTTTTTTATTCCCCACTTTTAGTTTTTAAAAGAATCTTTCTACTCATGTTTTAAGACTGAGGAAAGAGTGAGGAAAAAAGGAAGATGTACTGAAGATTCTTCAGTAAAGTCAAAGAAAAATTTCTAAGGGCTGGAGCTATAACTCAGCATGCACAAGGCCCTGAATTCAATCCCTTATAGTGTTGTAAAAATAAAGGAAGAAAGGAAGGAGGGAGAGAGGGAGGGAGGATGGGAGGGAAGGGGGGCAGGCGAGCGACAATTTTTATTCTAACGTCATACTGTACTCTTGTCCTATATTCAACTATCTCATTGCTGCTGAACAAATCTATGTAGGACTTCATACTGGCAACGTAAGAAAGGCAAGAGTGCTTTACTGTATAAATCTGCTAAAAAAGAAACATTCATATTTAAACAGTCTTTTTAAGTTATTCTTTGTAGAGTAGAATAAGCAACAACCTTATTTCCATGGAAATCTAACAACAACAAAAAAAATAGAGCTTACACCAAATAACAATGTCATAATCTTCATATGCAGATGTTAGAAATTCATGAAGATATGGTCTCATTAATTCTACCCCAGTCTCTGCACAAGACCTATGATCTAAAAGAAAATTGGTCACAAACAATTATTAGTTTATTATCAGGAACAAGTACTGAGTAGAATGAAATTATTATAAAAGTAATATGATATAAATATTAACTGTGAACTTCCTGAGGCTGAATTACATTATTTAACAGTTTTTGCAAAACACACAATTTCCTTGAGTTCCAACTTCAACTGCTCAAGTTTGCTCAATGTGCAAAGTAGTACCGAAAATTCTGGATGATGTGATCCACTCTAAAATTTGTTCTTATCTGCTATGTAGATTATTTCATAATAATAAGAAATGAACAAGGCCCCACCCTCATTTACTCACCACCTTGAGATAACCAGCTCCACCAAACCATCAGTTCAGTTAACTTACCAATTCTTAAACTATGTGGACATTAAGTTACAACGCATATTTAACATTTACAGTTAGAAGTAAAGATATTCTATCAGGAATGAATTATTTTGGGTCAATGTTAGAGGATGAAATTAAAGCCTTTTTCAATCAACATGATTAATTTGAAATTTAAGAGAGTGTCTGAATATATTAACAGAAAATAAGGGGTAAAACATAAAAAATAATTTTTAAAATAGTCCTTATAAAAGTTTAAGTATTTATCAGTACTGACTTGGTTAAACTATGACACATCCACATCCTATGACCCCTGCAAAACATCTATGTATGCGTGCATATCTACACATCTATCTACCTATCATCCATCCATCCATCTATCTATCTATCTATCTATCTATCTATCTTCTGTCTGTCTATAATGTATTTGATTAGCAGCAAATAACACTTAATAATTGAGATGAGGTTCAACCTATCTTTACATAGAAGAAAAAAAAGGGATACATACGAAGACACTAGAAGATACATCAAAATATTATAAGTGGTCGTCTGTGGTGTTGGAATGATAGATGGCACCTTCTTTGGCTTATCTGTATCTCCCAGAATGCACGGTTTACTATTGGAATAAGGAAAGCTTTCAAATGTTTCATGTGAACACTGAACTGCTGGGGAAAAATGGGAAAGCTCTATCAATGGACTTACCAAATAACGTATAATCAACATCTAGCACCAAAAGCTTTTTCCCTTCCCTGGGAGGGTTTAATATTTCCACTTTATACTCCTTCACTCGGCGAGAAATCTTCAATAGGTTTTCTTCCCTAATAGAAAAAAGAGCAGGTGAAGGCGCCCCCTCCTGTCTCACATGACAGTCTCTTCTAAAGCCAAAAGCACTTACCTATTTTCAACTTCAACCACTTCATCCTCGATATCAAAGTCGTTGACAACATCATCATTGTCAGGGGGAGGACCCAAGACATCTTCCTATTAGACCGGAAAAGCTTTGTTTACCATACTACCTTACCATAAACACACACTACATAAAAACCCAATGACTGCAACTCTCAGTATTAATTACTTGTTACGTATGTCTCCTGGGCAGATCTTCCATGCTAAATTTGACCACATTGCTTTATCATACAACTATATACTCAAAAGGTCCCCAATACCTATTTCCTGATGAGTTAATACCACATTCCCAGGAAGTTATCTTGTACTCATTAGACTGAAAACTTTGCCACAATTAAAACTATGATACAGCAGTGTTGTGTCAATCTTGACACCTTTAAAGGGACATATGGCAACAAAAGTAAATACTTACCAAGCTCTCCTCACGAGTTCCCATCATCATGATTTTAGTATTTGGTTTCAGTTTGAGAGTTCCAAGCTTAACGTCGTTTTCGGCGGGTCTGCCTACAATAGAAGCAAATCACTGTTTTCTCACTCAAGTTCAGATGCAAGCTTCACTATTCCACTATATAAAAGTCTAACACTAAAAGGTTTGGGAAAGAGGCCACAGCAGGTTTGTTTCCTACATTAAAAAATTGTTACTGGAGCTGGAGAGATGGCTCAGCGGTTAAGAGCACTGACTGCTCTTGCAGGGGACCCAGGTTCGATTTCCAACACCCACATGGCGGCTACGAACCGTCCTTAACTCCAGTTCCAGGGGAATCTGAAGCCCTCTTCTGATCTCCGCAGCACTGCACAACACGGGTGCACTCACATACATGCAGGCAATACACTCGTACACATAAAATAAAAATAAATATATTTTTTTAAATTGTTACTACTGAATCAGTCATAACTAACACGGAAAGTCAAGACTAAGGGCTGCTTTCCCCTGAATTTCATCTAACACCTTTACTATCTATGCAAAAGAAATTCCTGCTTTATTGTTCAAGATAATTCTTTTCTAGGAAGTCTTGAAACTTGAGTGCCTAAGGTAAAACGATAGATTTGCTATTATTCCTCATTGATCTTTCCAAGACACCAAACAATGCAAAGAAGCTAGATATGAACACTGCCAAAGATTTTTAAATATTATCTTCAGTATTATCTTTAAATACTGAAACAGAAGTGACTATTTAGAGAGAGTACAAGGCCCAAGTTATAATGAAAGCTAAAACACAGATGCCAGAAAATGACTGAGCTTCATCCTGAGGCTTCTGGGTCAACATTTTAACAAGCAAACACCACTGCCAGGGAAATAAAAAGTAATCTAAATAGCAGTAGTATTTTCAAGTAACCGTCCATATTCTTCTTTTTACCGATGAAACAAGTGTAGGAGTATCCCTAGCAAAGAAAACTCAGAAAGGAAGGTTTTTTTGAACAAAATAACAAATAGCAACCACAGAAATTCATAAACAGCAATGTAAAAAACGTGAAGTGAGAATTACCTTTAACTTTGAGTCCAAGCAATTTCTGGCGCTCGGGCAGCACTCCTGTGAGGGTCTTGAGAAACTGTTTGAGATCTAGCACAGTGTCATCTTCAGAGAGCGTTGTCACTGAATACTCCTGCCCACCCCATTTTACAATGATAGGGAGGGCCATTCTTCAAGCATATGCGGTGGCAGCTTCCCTTCAGAACAAAGCACCTAGAAGGCAGGCATATACATATAATCAATACTGACGCAGCCAAAACAAACCTGGAACATGGAGTTTTAGACGTGTGTATAGTCTGAACTCCACTGAACAGTCTGATGGTAGAGAAACATGTTTCTCTTCACAGTAGTGTTCCCTGAATCCTGAAGTATACTAAGACTCAAGTCAAAACTCTTGTTTTTGGCTCAGACTTAGCACTTCCTAACCCTCTTCCTGATTCTTCTCTTGTTCAACTAGAAAACAGCAATAGTGAGACACCCAGCCTCCTGCTCTGCATGGCTGGGTTTATGCTACAGACAAGTTCTTCCACAACATCCACATTCATCTAACATGGTACTGCCAAGTAGTCGTTAGAAGCACAGATTCCAGTGCAAACTACATGAACTTCCCACCTGCTTACTATTTGAGACGTTTCCTGGCTTTGTACCAAGTTTCCTCACCTGTGAAATTGGGAAATACTACACACACCTTTGGGTTTTCATGACCATTAAATTAGTTAATATTTATAACTCACATAGGGTTTGGCACATGCTAAGCACTATATGTGTACTGATTAAAGTTAAAGCTGAATACTTACTATGTCTGAGACACAGTACTAGAAAAGTAATCTCCCACTATTGTTTCATATATTATGAAGTGACCAGATTTACAAAGATCACCTCATTTAATAAAGGTGTCAGACAAGAACATTCCCTCTATTCCCATTAAGGTAACAGCTATATAATGTACCCATAGGCACGTAGCTGGTAATAGATTTTCTGACTAAATCTCACTGTACCCTACAACCATTCTACCACAACTGTCTAATTCAAAGTGCACCTACAGTGGTTATGGCTTCAAATTTCAGTAAGAGAAAAAAAAAAATCAGTAACTACAGATCCAACCACATAAATTTTCTATGGCATCTGAAGTCATCAACAACCAAAAGCCAGGTGCAGGTCCCCCAAAACCGTCTACATTTATACATTTGTTTCCCCACAGGTCAGAGAAGTGAGTTTCCTCATCTCCAAAATCCACCTGCCTCTGCCTCCCAAGTGCTGGGATTAAAGGTGTGTGCCACCACGCCCAGCAAGTAGTGGCATTTTTCAACGCCATCATTTCTGTGGTGACACATTTGATTGCACTAGCCATGTTAATATACAAACCAACTACAAGAGAAAAGGCGAAATTTAAATCACAATATGCAAAAACTGACTTGGAAACCAAGTGTCATCCTCTGCTGGCATGCTCATTATTAAGGAGCAACAAATTCACATTCACAACAGCTTACCTAAGTGACTCACATTATATTCTTATTCATACTTACCCTTTATGTTTTTAATGCTCCGCAGAAAATCTGCAGCAAGAGTGCTGAGGGCAGCATGGGACACTTTGGTGAGAATTTGCCCTAAGAAACGTTATGACCTTCAATTGTTAAAGAGGCATAGGGGTTAAACTGAAATAGTTTACATTAATATTTTTCTGTAAGAGACAGGAATAAGAATGATTGTTAATGGGATACCCAAAGGACATCAATTTAAGCTGGAGTTCTGCCTAACATCCTGTGTTGGCTGTGGCAGTTCTTACCTCTGGCATCCAGGGTGCCAACGGTAAGATGACACAATTGATATTTACAGTGTGAAGGCAGGAGCTAACATCCCTGACTGAACTTTCCACGCTGGAAAGAGCGATATGAAAGGTAATGTGAGAGAAAAGCACGCTAATCAATTAACTATCTCAATTAACCTTCACAATCCTGAACAACTACTGACCATGTCATTATATTGACCAGAAACCTGAAAAAGAAGTTACAATAACTTGCCCAGGACCTCACAACTAAAAGCAATTAAAGGCGGCAATTTCAAACCTAACACTCCGCTGGGAGAACTTTTGGACAAGCCTAGCAAAAGGGATGGTGGTGGGCTCCTGGCCAGGGCAGCAGCAGCCTCGCAAGGGCTAGCCTGGGATAGCATCCCAAGGTGGGAAGAGACTCCAAAAACGAGCAGGTTGGGACGCCTTCAACCAGGAGCGTAAGGGGAAAGCGGGACAGGCCCGGAAGGGGAGACAATGCGTCCAGAACATTCTAGGATGCGTGGAGCTCCGGGAACAAGCAAGGAGGCCGGTGGGAGGCAGTGGCCCCGCCGCGCGCGCCGGGAAGGGCCTGGGCATTCGCCGCGGTTTCCAGCCCGCCCGGGCCGGCAAGCAGCACACGGCCGTCCCCCTGCCACAGCGCGACCGCCATAGGCGGGCAAACCCGCAACCTCTCACCTGGAGCACGTAGGAACCAGCCGCAGCGGACACAGAAGACACCCGCCGCTGCGGAACCAAAGGAGACCGGAAGTCAGGAACGAGACCGGAACCGGTGAACGGACAGGAAGTGGGTACTTGAAACCGGAAATGCGCTATGGTCGGGGGCGGGGCACAGCGGTGGCTTGCCAGGTTTCTCTTCGCATGCTGAAGATGAGGACCACTCACGACAAACTTCCACAGCGCCTTTTCCCGACAGTGACCGCTGTGAAAGATGCCCGAGTGGTCGCGGGCAGTTTTGCGCATGCTCCGAGCGGGGTGAGCGCCTGGGCCTTGCGACGTGTTGTTGGACCCTAGTATAGCCTGCCGGCTACTCCACTCTTGCTGGGGTCTCCCTGGGGCTCGGACTGTGGCTCGTGTGGCAGCGTCACAGTCCGAAAGAGGCTTACTGAAAATGAGACCTTGCTATGGCCGCTGTGGGCAGCCGATAATAATTTCAGGACCTTAGGCTTGTACCCACTCCAGGGGGAAACAGGACAGACAGGGAAGAGAGGAGACAGGACCCAGGCTCTGAAGGCACAAATGCAAAGGTTACTGTATCGCATCAGATCCCCACCCACCCGTCCTTGGTGCTTTACGTCTTCCGAAATGGAAGGAAAGGAATTCTCAAAAGAAATGGGAGTTTCAGAGCAGTGGGCGGCTGAGGCCGGAGGAGCATCTGCAAGTTCAAACCAACCGGAGTTACATAGTGACAGTTCCCGATCTGGGCTACCAGAGTGAGACTCTGCCTCGAACAAACAATAAAGGGAAGCCTTAACGGATTCCATCTGGTCCGTAAGAGGAAATCCCACATCACTTATTAACTTGTCATGAAAAAGAGAGAGAGAGAGAGAGAGAGAGAGAGAGAGAGAGAGAGAGAGAGAAGGAAGGAAGAAGAGAGAGAAAGAAAGCAAGAAAGAGAGAGGGGGAAAGAAAGAGAGAGAGAGAAAGGAAGGAAGGAAGAAAGAAAGAAAGAGAAAGAAGAAAGAAAGAAAGAAAGAAAGAAAGAAAGAAAGAAAGAAAGAAAGAAAGAAAGAAAGAAAGAAAGAAAGAAAGAAAAGAAAGAAAGACCCACCTAAAACCAGGAGGACTGCCATTAATCCCAGGACTATAGAAACAGAAGCAGGTGTGTCTCACAGTTCCAGGCCAGCCTGATCTACATAGCGATTTCCAGACTAGCCAGCGCTGCATAGTGAGACCTTATCTCTAAATAAATAAACTTTAAAAACAAGAAGTAAATTGGTCCCTTGATACATGTGTATAATCTCTTTTGAAACTTTGGTTTTAAAAGAGAAGGAAAAAGCTGAAAATCATATTGGCCCCGTGTGTGCTCCAGTCCTTGGATTACCTGTGTCTTTCTTTCTAATGGACAGGAGTGTAACTGACTTTTTTCCCCATCTTGAGATTGTTAGGAAGCAAAGTAAATTTTGAGTCTTGACAGTTCTTTAGTTAAGAGCCACATACTGTTTTGCATTTTTCCCCTTCTAGTAATTTTTTTTCCTGCACTAATAATATATGAATATCTGCTCATTCAAAACAAACATCTTGCCCTCTTCAAAAAAGAAAATTTCTACGAAAACTACAGTTTGGTAGTTTAGCTTAACATAGTCAAAGACCATCAAAAGACAAGGGACTGTCTCCAGAACAAATGCTTAAGTTTTTTAACCCAGTAGCTCTTCCTTGCTTTGTTCACCTGCCAAATAGCCTTTTGGCCTGGCCGCACTATATTTTCACCTTTGTGATTAGAGGGGTTGATATATGTTAGTCACCACAGTCAACTAAAATACTTTAAAGCTAATGTCAGCAACACTATTCATTAGGACGTTCTTGTTTTTAATGGTAGAAAAACCATGTTATGAGAGTTCTGATAACTGAGCTAGTACAAGAGAATAAATAATAGCCAGGTGTTCAATAGTATTTCTCAAAAAGTAGGGTAGCAAAGCATTTATTTATATTTTTATTTATTTTTGGTAAATTGCCCATCTGTGCTGGTTAGTTTCTGTCAACTTGGCACTAATCACAGACACCTGAGAAGAGGGACCTCAGTTGAGGGATTTCCTCCATTGCATTGGTCTTGGCCATGTCTGTGAGGCATTTTCTTAACTGTTAATTGATGTTGGAGGGCCAAGTCCACTGTGGATATTGCCACCCTTAGACAAATGGGCCTGGGCTGTGTAAGAAGGGTATCTGAGGAAGCCTTGGGAACAAGCCAGCAAGCAGCATTCCTCCATGGTCTTTGCTTCAGTTTCTGCATCCTCATCCTGCCTTAAGCTCCTGCCTTGACGTCCTATGATAATGAAGTGTACCTTGTAAGGGGAAGCAAACCCTTCCGAGTTTTCTTTTGGTTCTGGTGTTCATTACAGCAACCAAAAGCAAACTAGGACACCATCTAAAAGAAGATTTCTATTTTTTTTCTCTGTATTTTTTTTTTAATCTTTTTGAGACAGGGTCTCCCTGTATCCCCAGCTGTCCTGGAACTCATTATGTAGATCAAGCTGGCCTTGAACTCACAGAGATCCAACTGTCTCTGGCTCCCTAATGGTGAGATTAAAGGTGTGTGCTCCCACACCTGCCTCCTGTATCTTTTATTAAATGATGCTGGGGATCAAACGCAGAACCTTGCATATGCTAGGCAAGGGCTCTACCATGGAGCTCCAACCCCAGCCCTTGGTTTTGTATGATACAGGGTCTCTCTATGTAACCCAGGCTGGTCTTGAACTTGCTATGTAGCCCTTCTGGTATAGAACTCTTTATCTTGCTTTGACCTCCTGACTTCTTGGATTATAGGCCTGAATCAATATGCCAGGTCCTCCAAGTATATTTCTATTGAACTAAACCTTCCTATGAAGTCAAAAATCAAGAAAAGCTTGGAGAGCTGGCTAGATGACGCAGCAGGTAAAGATGCCTGCCACCAATTCTGACAACCTGAGTTTGAACATTTGGACCCACATGGTGGAAGGAAAGAACCCACCCCCACGGGTTGCCCAAATGTGTGCCTGCACACATACACACCAAAATAAATAAAATGTGAAAAAATTTAAAGCTATTTGGAGCCAGGCGTGGTGACTTTAATCTCAGCACTCGGGAGGCAGAGGCAGGCAGATCTTTGTGAGTTCAAGGTCAGCCTGGTCTACATAGTGAGTTCCAGGCCAGCTGGGGCTACAGGAGACCCTGTCTCAAAAAAGGCCAAAAAAGAAAAAGAGAGAGAGAGAGGAAAAAAAAGAAAAGAAAACATTTGTAGTACATCAGAAGGTTTTATTATTCCTTTATTTTAATAAGGAAACTGAGCTCTTGGTAACTAGGAACAGCTGCAAAGTTGACGTAGGAAAGGGCCCATAGCAGCTCACAATGACCAAAAAGATAAACTGTCTCACTTTGCTCCCTAGAGCCTCTAATATACTTTCCCTATCTTCGTGCCTTTTACACCAAAAAAAAAAAAAAAAAAAGATCTACAGAAGATAGGCACATAGGTGTTTGCTAGGACCCAGAGACTTTAAAGAAATAGCCATTTTTCTATCAGGTGATAACTGCAGATATCACTGGGCTCTGATTATTTTGAAAGAAAGGACAGTCCTCTTCCTAACCCAGTATCAGCACTACCATGGTTTTATCTCTGTCTTCCCAAAGAATTATTTCCTTCTCTCTTGCAAGCCAATTTTCTTTCTCTGCTAACTGCCTTTTCCCACCCAGCTCAAATCTATTTCTCTCATCAGACTTTGGAAGACAATCTTCTTTAATTTGGGTGTTTTTAATTTGGCCCACTCTACCATTTTATTTCTCTCTCCTAATACCTACTCCCTTGCCTTTTTAAATGCCTGCAATCAGAGAGCTAAAAATGGCTAAAATCTGCCCCACAGGACATTCTACAGGCTCTTAACTAAAGCTGGCAAATTACTACTGTTCTGTACTCTGCTTGCTTTCCCAGGACAGATGCTCAAAGCTTCCACTCTCTTCAGACTCCAGACCTCCAATGATTTCCCATTCTAGGAGGTTGGCAGTGTCCCATATTTTGCAGTACCTTTTTAGATCTTTCTAAGTCTAGAAACAAACCTTTCTCAGCACCTATCTTCACACCCTTTCCTTCTGATTGCATTGAGATAGTTCCATCTGAAGCCAGCCCTTATTTGTGTTCTGGCTCCCTCCTTCTCAGGAAGCTTTTTATGAGTCCAGTATCCCTTCTTCCTCCTCCTATTTAACTTCTTCCTACTGGTCATTTCCCTTCAGTAACAAGTGTGTCTTGGTATCTTGCAATCATAGTTACCAATCTTTTTTTGACATATTAGTATTTCAAAGAATTCGTTTATGGTTGATTGCTTATTACTAAGTGTAACCTATAATTGTGCATTTCTTTGAGATTATTAAAGTAACAGTATCACCTTCAGTACTGTAAGTTTTGTGAAGAAATGGGCCATGTCAGATTTATCCGCCATTTTACTCCCAGAGTCTAGCATGATATTGGTTAAAGTTGGTGCTCAATAGATTCTGAGTACATAAATAATAAATGTTCAATATGAGTGTATTATCTAATAACATGTATGTGACAATGCATATCAACAGATGACTAGAATTTGTATTGAGAGTCAATGTGTTTGGAATGTTTTAAAATGTAGACATTGAACGCAGGTAGCATGGCCGAGCAGTCTAAAATGTACACATTGCTGCCTATGGTAGCATGGTAGGTGGGTATTCTAGTTTGCCTTCAATTGCCATGACAAAACATTCTTACCAGTACCAACTTGGGGAGGAAAAGGTTTATTTGGCTTACATCTCCCGGGTCAGAGTTCATTAATGAGGGAGCCCAAGGTAGGAACTCAGGGCAGGAACCTGGAGGCAGGAGCTGAAGCACAGGCTTGGTCCCCTGGCCTGTGCTCAGCTTGCTTTCTTATACAATTCAGGACCACCTTCCCAGGGGTGGCACCACCCACAGTGGACTGGGCTAGGCCCTCCCATATCACTCAACAATTAAGAAAATACCCTGCAGACATCACAGGCCAGTCCAATGGAGGAAATTCCCCAATTGAGGCTCCCTCTACCCAGATGTGTCAGGTTGACAACTAAAGCTATTCAATACAACTGACCCCTTGTTAACTTGATAAACGCATTGCTATTAAACAACAAGCTTTC